AAGCCAAGTAAACTTGTTTAAATCTTTGCAGGGATCTCAAAGAGAGTTTAATATATTGTGACTGAGTAAACAGAAATAGTTGTATTTATAAGCCAGCAGTGTTTACATGGCAGAAGGAAAAAAACATTACAGGTTTCTTAATGTTCTTTTTTGTCACTTTTGTCAGGCATGAAAATGATTTCACCTGTAGTTAGTTTGTCACTATCTTTAAACCATATGTTGGTTTAGCTTCTTTAATTAATATAGCAAATTTGTTTTCTGCTTCTTCCAACATCTTTCTACTGTTACCAGAAAGTCAGCAGAGATAATCAACCTCAGTTCTTATGTCTGGCAAAAGAAGAAATGGGCAAACTATGAAAGTGCTTTAAGTAACAGGAAAGTTTATTAGAAATTCAGCAGAGAAAGATTTTTACATGGCATGATGTCATCAGAAGACTACTTCACATCATCTTCAGCCAGCTGTAGGATATTGACATGAGCATTAAATTTTCTTCCTTTTTTGTTTTCATCTTTTTTCTTTTGTTGCTCATGGGGATTGAATTCTGGGCCTGGGGAGCTCTTTAGCTCAAGGGCTAGCACTCTACCACTTGAGCCACAGCACCACTTCCGATTTTCTGGTGGTTAATTGGAGATAAGAATCTCACAGACTTAGCGCTGGTGGCTCATGCCTGTAATCCTAGCTACTGAGGAGGCTGAGATCTGAGGATCATGCTTTCAAAGCCAGCCTGGGCAGTAAAGTCGGTGAGACTCTTATCTCCATTTAACCACCAGAAAACCAGAAGTGGCACTGTGGCTCAAGTGGAAGAGCGCTAGACTTGAGCTAAAGAGCTCAGGGACAGCGCTGAGGCCCAGAGTTCAAGCACCAAGACTGACCAAAAAACAAAAAACTGCCTGGGCTGACTTTGAACCCTGATCCTCAGATCTCAGCCTCCTCAGTAGCTAGGATTACTGGCACCTGGCTATGAGTGTTGACGTGAAGGTAGGGAGCCAAAGGTATGTACAGTTTTAATAGTTTACCCCATTATATCTTGGTTGTGGTTCACCTGGGTTCCAGAGAAGTTAATCACTATGGTCACTACAGGGGAGCAGTCTTGTTCCCATGAGATGACCTACTTCAAGATGGGGTGGCTTAATCATTACTGTTAATAATCCTCTTTTGAAGGTGATATGATCTGTTATTACAATCCCCCTCCCCTGTGAAAACTGCCCGATGATAAGTCTTATAGTATAAACTCAGATATAACCAATAGCAGCTCTACAGAGGCTAAAGACTTCTGTTGTAGATTTCACGTTCCTCTGTAGACATATCTAAAGAAATGAGCAAGTGCCTCATTCTCTTCTAATACCCAACAAAAATTGCCTAAAGGCAAACAAACCACCCTATCCAATGCTTCTGGCTGCTCTTAAATGAAAGCTCCCTGCTACCCCACCCCCTTGCTGGGGATCAAACCAAGGGTGTCTTGCATGTTAAAGAAGCACCTATAACTGAGCTATAACCCCCAGGAATTGAGTGAAAGCTCAATTAATGGTGATTCAAGCATAGAATTTATTTATTTAGTCTGTCGTGGGGCTTGAACTCTGGGCCTAGATGGCCTAGGTGCTATCCCTGAGCTCTTCAACTCAAGGCGAGCACTCTACCACTTGAGCCACAGCGCCATTTCCTGTTTTCTGGTGATTAATTGGTGATAAGAATCTCACAGACTTTGCTGCCTGGGCTGGCTTTGAACTGAGATTCTCAGATCTCAGCCTCTTGAGTAGGATTACAGGCATGAGCCACCAGCGTCTGGCTCAAGCATAGAATTCTTTCTGGAAGTGAACAGTATAATGGTAGTTTTTTTTTTTTTTCTAAGATGTTTAGGGGGTTGATCTTGTTTGTTGCACAATTCAAATCAGGAAAGCCAGTTTATAAACTTGTTGTTTTTGTGATGCTAGGGATTGAATCTAGGTTCTGTTTCATGCTGAGCAAGTACTCAGCATACATCAGACCTATATATTAATTTAGTGATTCCCTTAAGGTGGTCTATGATGGTACAAGAAGGAACTTTTCAAACATGAAAGGAAATGGCACGAAGCATGTAGAAGGTCCACAATTTAAATCATTTATTCTAATCATAAAGAATGATATAATATTAAAATATATCCACAGTAAATCTTAAACATGTGATTGTTACAGGTAAAATAGAGAATTAAGAACTTTAAAAATACAAATTTTATGAAAAAGTTTAAGCATTTTTAGACTGGGACTTACAAAAAATTCTTGAGAAAAGTTTAGATAGCATCTTAAAATAGGAAAAATATTCTGAAAATGTCAGGAATGAATACCTGAATTTCTTTAAAACTACTTGTTTATTGTTTGGTAATACCAAGAAAAGACATTTACAGTTTAATACTGCAAAGAACTGTCAAAAGAATAGAATATTACATATTCATTAGGTTGAATGTATACTTTTTAAAAAGTTCTTTAATCAAAAATATGAGAAGTTGGACTACACAATTTTCTTTTTTTCTTTTTTCTTTTTTTTGCCAGTCGTGGAGCTCGAACTCTGGGCCTGGGCGCTGTCCCTCAGCTCTTCAGCTCAAGGCTAGC